GATATCTGTCCGGCAGTTGTCTAAATTTCTCTTGAATGCCTCCAGTGTTGGAGCACTCACCACCTCTCAAGATAGTTGATTCCACAGCCATACTGTTCTAACAGTTAGAAGGTTTTTCCTGATAGTCCACTGAAATCTGGCTTTCTGTAACTTCTGCCCATTATTTCATGTCCTGCAGTCTGGGACGACCGAGATCCTGCCTTTCCTCTGCATTTGAAAAGTGCAATCATATCTGCCCCCTCAATCTTCTTTTTTTCAAGGCTAAACATACCCAATTCTTTCAGTCTTTCATCATAAGGCTTGGTTTCCAGACCCTTAATTATCCTTGCTGCCCTCCACTGAATTTGTTCCAATTTCTTGGCATCCTTCTTGAAGCGCAATGTCCAGAACTGGACACAGTACTCAGATGAGGCCTAACCAGTGCCAAATAGAGGAAAACTAGTACCTCACAGGATTTGGAGACTATACTTCTGTTAATACAGCCTAAAACAGCATTTACTTTTTTTGTAGCCACATCACACTGTAATAGCTCATATTCAGTTTGTGATCCACAACTCCAACAACTTCTTGCTCACAGTGTTGCTGAGCCAGGTATCCCCCATCTTGTAACTGTGTTTCATTTCTTTTTCCTAGATGCAGTACTTTGCACCTATCCCTGTTGAATTTAATTCTGTGATTTTTCAGCCCAGTGCTTAAGCCTATCTAGATCATTTTGAATTTTGTTTGTCTTCCAGGGTGTTAGCTATTCCACCCAATTTTGTGTCATCCACAAATCTGATTAGCATTCCCTGTATCCCTTGATCCATGTCATTAATAAAAATATTGAATAGCACTGGGGCCAGGACCGAGCCCTGGGATACCCCACTTGTTACCTCCTCCCAGCTGAGAGAAGGAGCCATTAATCATCACCCTTTGAGCAGCTTTCTGTAGCCAAATGTGTATCTGCCTGATAGTTGTTCTATCCAGCCCACACCTAGTTAACTTGCTAAGCAGGATATCATGGGAGATTTTGTCAGAAGCTTTACTGAATTTAAGATATACTATGTCTACAGCATTCACTCTGTCTATCAGGGCGGTTACCCGATCAAAAAATTAGAACATATTAATCTGGCAGGATTTGTTCACGACAAATCTGTGTTGGCTTCTAGTTACTGCTTTGTTTTCCAGGTGTTTGCATAGTGACCACTTTATAATCTGTTCCAGAATTTTCCCTGGGATTGATATCAGGCTGACTGGTCTGTAGTTCCCAGGTTCCTCCTTTTTGCCCTTTTTGTAGACAGGGACAACATTAGCCCTCCTTCAGTCATCTACACCTCATCCATTTCCTATGATTTCAAGAAAATGATGGAGAGTGGTTCTGAGAACTCTTCAGCCAGCTCCTTGAATACTCTTGAATGTAGTTCATTCGGTCCTGGAAATCTGAACTTCATTTCCTTGACTATTGTTGGCATCCTTCTTGAAGTGCAGTGTGTCAAGTATTCCTTGACTATTTGTTTATCAATCTCCAGCTGCAATCTTGTCCCATCCAACTGCACTTGACATTTGTGCAGAGGGTCATAGTCTGTCCTTTGGGAAAAGACTGAGCTAAAATAGGAATTGAGCACTTCTGCCTTTTCTTTCTCTTGTGTCCTCATTTTTCTATCTCCACTGAGTAGCTGAGCCACTGTTTTTCTTTGTCTTTTGTTACACACATACCTGAAGAATGCTTTTTTATTGCTTTTAGTGTTTAGCTAGCTTCACCTTTATTGCTTTTTAGTGTTTAGCTTTTAGTGTTTTTTATTGCGTTTAGTGTTTAGCTTAGCCCTCCATCCCAAAAAGCTTTTGCCCTCCTAATGCCATCCCTGCAATTCTTTGCTACTTGTCTGTACTCTTCTTTTGTGGCCTGGCTTTCTTTCCACTTCCTATATGTGTCCTTTTTTGTTTTCGGGTCCTCTCTGAACTTTTTGTGAAGCCACGCTGATCTTATTTGCTGCTTCCCATCTTTTTTTCCTTATTGAAATTGTTGGTAGTTGAGCCTATAGAGTTTCCTTCTTTAGAAGTTCCCATCCTTCTTGGACTCCTTTTCTTGTTAGTATCTCCTGCCATGGGACCTTACTAATCCTTGTTCTGAATTTACTGAAATTGGCTTTTTAAAAATCCAGCATATATGTGTGGCTACACTCCACTCTGGTTTCCTTTGAAATCAAATAATTCTAGTAGAATATGGTCACTCTTGCCCAGAGTTTCCCTTACTACCACTTCCTCCACCAAGTTGTCTTTTGGTTAGAATCAAATCAAGAATAACTAGTCCTCTAGTTTCTTTCTCTAATTTTTGTAGGAGAAAATTATCAGCCACACAAGCGAGGAATTTCTTGGAAGGGTCATATGTGGCAGAATTTGCCTCCTAACAGGTATCAGGATAATTGAAATCTCCCATCACAATTAAATCGTGTCTCTTTGAAATCCTTGCCATTTGTTTTTCAAAAGTTTCATCAGCATCCTCTCCTTGACTGGGTGGTCAGTAGTAAATGCCAACTCCCATGTTCCTTTTGTTTTTTTATCCCAACTACATTGATCCAAATGCTCTCAATGGGCCAGCCAATCTCCTCCTCCTGTATTTCTATGAAGGAATGTGTATTTTTCACAAATACTGCAACTTTGTGTCCCTTTCTATTCCTTCTATTCTTTTTGAACAAGTTATATCCTTCAGTTGCTGTATTCCAGCCATGGGAGCCATCGCACCAAATTTCAGTTATTCCTATCAAGTCATATCTACCCTCCTGAGCTAAGATTTCCAGTTCTTCTTCTTTGTTTATCATGCCACTGGCATTTTTATATAGACACCGGAGACTGTGTGATTTGTGGCCTGCTTTTCTTTGTACATTTTATATATATTATTATTAATGTTATTACTGACTGCTATTAGAACTATTTGGTCCATTCTTCTTATTGTGCGTAAGACTTCATCTATCTTTACCTCTGTGCTTGTGTCTCCCTCCCCCCTTCAAAGTCAGTTTAAATTCCTCCTGATGAACTTCATGCTGCGGCCAAATTCATTCTTCCCAGTCTTTATGAGGTGCAAGCCATCTCTTGCTAAGCAGTCCATCTTCCAGGAAGTTTAGCCCTCTGTCCCAAAAAGCAAATCTCTCACTGACAGCATTAACTGACAGCAACACTTCAGGCTGCTGAATTTACATCATTCCAACAGTCTTGCAAGCTTCACATTTTCTCCATAAGCAGCAAAAGACTGAATTGTGCCCAGACTCTGGCTGAACACTGCAAAGCAGTTTTTCAGTGCAACGTTTGTGGCGACTTCATTTCTGCAAATCAATGGTGATCCAACAGCCATTTCAAATGCATTTTGTTAAGTGCTTTTAATGGAAATAAACTGCAACACCCCAGGTCACTTTCTCAAATGTTGTAAGAGCACATTGTCCCTATGGCATCAGTGGCCATAGGCTGATTGTGGACTGAAATTTAAACATCATTAACAAAAAACAAAGCCATATTTGTGCCACGTGAACCAGAAAATATTCTGGCAGACCTGCAACCCACAGTGTTCTCTCTCTCTTGCACTGAAAATAGCTTCATCACCTTTCAGCTGATAGTAGAAAACATTCAGCCAAACTGTCCTCCAGGGCCTTTTTAGTGGCTGCACCCAGATAATATAATCCCCTCCTCGAGGAGGCCCTACCCCTGCTACCATTTTGTGTTTTGTATTATTTATGTTTTTATCTATAATTAAGGGCATTTTACTTTGCTTTGTTTTCAGTTACCTTGATTTATTCAATGATACTACACTGTTACACTGTTGAACTGGTTGTGGCTGCTGATATATTTTTTCTTAATGGGTATTTATTACTGAAAGTCACCTTCATAGTCCTTCTGAGTTGAACAATAAAGTACAAATATTATTTTATTTTATCCAGCTCTCCTTTAGACAAACACCAATGGATATTTCACAAGATGTCAAATAAAATGTATTTGAAAATGGAACGGAGTGAAGAGGAAATCCAAAAAAGCCATATGACATTTGTGAAATAAAGAGACAGCTAAACATCTCAAACACTGCTTAACTTCAAACTTCCAAATGCATAATTTCAGTAGCTGAAATCATTGCCCAAAAGTGTCACAATAGCTACTAGGTTAGCTGGCTTGCAAGAGAGTTAGGACAGTTTTTGGAGGGCGTTTATCAGTGGCCATTTTGAAGAATCATTAAAACTTCATTGATAAATATGGCATAACTCTGGAGACCAGAATATGTAGAACAGATGACAGAAAAGGCTGCTACCTCTGTGTCCCTCACATAAGTGTCTCAAAGGGATTTGGCCAGCACTTCTTAGAAGCGGAAGACTGGATGGTTTGTGATCTGATCCTGCAATGTTAGTAATATCAAGGTACTGCATATATTCGAGTATAAGCCGACCCAATATAAGTCAAGGCACCCAAATGTACCACAAAAAACTGGCAAAACTTATTGACTTGAGTATAAGTCGAGGGTGGAAAATGCAGCAGCTACTAGTAAATTTCAAAAATAAAAATAGATACCAATAAAATTACATTATTTGAAGCATCAGTAGGTTAAATGTTTTTGAAGATACTGCCCTTCTGAGCTGCGAGACACACTTCACTGCCTGCGGAGGGAGGACTCATACCGGATGTTGCGCTTATCTACTGATCTGCTGCTGCGTAAAGGATGGAGGGAGGCAGAGGATGGAGGAGGAGGAAGGTGGGAGGAGGAAGGTGGGTACATTGAAAATGAAGGAGGAGGAGGATGGGAGTGTCCTGGAAGCGGAAATGCAGTGTACTTAACCCGGGTCATCGGACCACCCACAGAGGCTGCAGGCACCCATAGATGAGCAGGGGAGTCTGGAGAATACCTGCACTGCAGGGGAGAACCTGTAATTTTGACACTGAATCGAGTATAAGCCAAGGGGGTGCTTTTTCAGCAAAAAAAGTGCTAAAAAACTAGGCTTATACTTGAGTACTGTATATACAATATATAATATAGAAAAACCAACCTGCCACGGTCGATCCCAGTCCAGAGGAATAGGAAATGCTCCAAACCATGCACCCACCACACTGCACATAGTTGTAATCTGCAAGCTGTTATCCCAGATGGACATAGCCCTGAAGAAATGGAACAAGTCCTCAGTGATGTTCAAAAATGTACATGCATTTTTGGAGTGCAGAAATTTACCTTTTAAAAGTTTTTTTTCAACAGTTATCACCATACAGCTGAAGAAAGTACACCAGAGCTTGGAAAGTTTCTTTGGACTACAGCTCTCATAACTGGAATGGCCACACTTGCTGGGAGATTCTGAGGTTGTCGTCCAAATAAGTACTATTTCCAAGTTCTGGTTATCAGTGTAGTTTCCATTTTTAAAATAAATCTTTGCTTTCTCATGATTTAAACATAATTACCGTATTTTTCGCTCCATAAGACGCACCTTTCCATAAGACGCACCAATTTTTTAGGAGAAGAAAACAGGAAAATATAATCTGTTTTCTTAGCTCCATAAGACGCACAGACTTTCCACACCCCTGTTTTGTGGGAAAAAAATTTGCTTTCTCATGATTTAAACATAATTAACTTGAAATGCTATAAACCATTGGCCTGTAATATAAAACACATGAGGTCACATGCCTCCTATCATCATAAAAGTAACAAAAAAGTTATTACACCATAAAAGTTGTCATCCCTCATTAAGTTACAAGCATAATGTAACTTAGTTATTGTACTTTTTACAAAAAGAATTAAAGATGTAGTTACTTCCACATTCTAATTTTTCATTTATTTATTGTATCTGACCAGTCTATCCAAGGCTGTAAATCTAAGAAGTTTATTAGGAAATATCTCCCATAGAACTGCGAGACTTACTTCTAAATGAACACATCTAAGGCCAGCCTGCAAGACTGTAAAAACTACAAAATATGAGCCACATTTACAAACATCCATCTAGTCCTCAATGCATATAGAACAGTACTGAGATTAAAAACATTCAATTATGTTCAATTAATTTTTTAAGGTTAATTATTTCTACTTAACCCAGCATTCACTCAGGGTATCTTCTCCTACCTATTGAAAAGACAGCTACAAGAGGGCCTGTAATAAGGATGGTTTGCCAACAGGAACCCATTTAGGGATAGTTTGAAACTCTATCTTTTCCAGCAGTAGTGCCAAGATATTCTCTCTCTCTCTCTCTCTCTCTCTCTCTCTCCTAAACAGCTGCCTCTCTGTATTATTTGAAGGTGTTTATGAAAATACTGCCATTTTGACAGGGTTTCAGAACATACATTTCTGGCTACTCAGAAGTACTGGTACTTTTGGGTTATACTGCTACTTAGAATAATTACATGTCATCAACTTGATTTCAACTTATGGCGACCATTTCCAAGTTTTTCTAGGTATATGGCACTCTAAAGCAGATCACCATTCCTTTTTTCTGTGATGCTCTAGCCAAGGCTACAGAGGCTGGCTCTTCTCCTGGTAGACACACTAAGCAATGGAATTCTCAGTCTCTGGCTCATCAGGCAGATACATATCCAACTCTCTGAGCTATCCAGTCAACACTGCTGTTTATATTGCTACAGCTGGAACATGCTTGTAGAGCTTTGGGGTCTTCATCTTACTGTCATAATATTCTTCTAGCTGTTTTCATAATATTTTGGTCTCAGAAAATACTTTGTGTTCATGGTTTTATGGACTGTGCAAAAAAAAAAGGGAAAAAAGACTGGTAAACCAGCCTGCCTTTTGTGTTCATGGTTTTATGGACTGTGCATCTTTAGGGAAAAAAGACTGGTAAACCAGCCTGCCATCATCTTGTAGACTCTGGCTGAAATCCTGTTAGTATAGTATGTTGCACCACAGTAGACCCATTGAATCAGCAGGAATTTGGTAAGTCATCTCCTCTTTAGACATAAATGCGTCTATTCTAGGTGGAATTTATTATGCTAAAGTACGTCGCAACTAAGGTAGGCCTATTTGAATCAATGGAACTTACAGAAGAGTTGATTCACAAACCCCTACTGATGCAATGGGCCTATTCTAGTGCAACTTACACTGAGCAACAACTCATACATTCTCCATCCTTTTACATGCAATACTCAAGCAAGATGGTGGCCTATAACATGTGTTGTGTGTTCTTTTGGACAAAACAGCTGAGGCGGACCTTGCCAAGCACTTCTACCATTCATAGATTTCAGGTGGCACAATGGGCCATCCTACATACTCTCAGGGTTCCATTATGATTCACTGCTACCAGACTGCAGTTTCTTCTACGAGGTTATCTTTTTAATTTAAGATCAAGCAGCGCCCCAACAGCTCCAGGCTGATAAATTTTAGTCTCAGTGAGAAAATCTGGGTTCAAATAATTAATATTTAAGCAGGTGTAAAATGCAGACACTGTGAATTAACATCACCTATACCCAAACCGGTGCTTTCTCAGTAACAATTCCCATCAACTCACCCAGCAAAGCCATACTTGCTGTGACTGGAAATACAGCCCAACATTTTGGAGTTCAAGCTACATGAAGAACCTTGCATGATGGTTTGCACATTATGAGAAACATGTATATGAAGAACCAGCAGTGGCTGCTGCTTCCTGGAGCTGAAGCCATATGTCTCTCCACATGAGCCTGATAGGATTTATGCTTATTTACATCAAGAGCTGGAATTTATTTAACAATCATTTAGTTTCTCTCCAGGCCTGCTAAAAAACAGTTACTGATGAATATATGAATGGGACAGAATGAAGGTTGGCAAATTCTAGATATCCATACTACACTGGGGGGGGGGGACAAGATGCACAATGCCCTATTATTAAGTAGAGTGAGGCAACAATTCTCAGGCTGGTGTCATGAAAAGACAGTAAACCATTAGATATTTAAGAGATCAGGAGGGGAGAGAAATCATAAATAAATACTTTGATAAATCAATAGTATACTTTGTTATTCCATTTTTTTCTGCCAGAGGTGCTTATTGGGATTTTTTGGTCCTGGCGAGATTCGGGTACTATGCACCAGACTTGGGTAGGAGTGCCAGCAGCTATTTTGCATCATATCCCAACATGTCTGGAGTTGTCCTCAATCAAGCAGACTATTTGGGACTGATCCTTGTTTCACAAAATGCACCTGCGCAAAAATGTCATGTGACTTTCCCTGTTCAGCTTATCAGCAGATAAGATCAATGCCAGGATGAAGCACAGTCAACAACTGAATTGGGAAAGTGGAGTACAGCAGAACTGTGGTATCTACAAGGGATCAGTTCCAAGCCCCACTGCAGACACCAAAAAATATGGAGGTATCAAACATGATACACTGTATGATATCTGGCTCTCTCCAGTGACCAGGTCTGGTATATACACCATGGAAATACATATAAATAGGTATTTCTGGGGTTGTTTTTTTCAGCCAGCAGATGAATCATCAAGATACTGATCCCGCAGATAGAGGGGTCTTACTGTATGCAAAAGAATCCTTATTGTTGCAGCATTTAAGTCACAGAACAACCTGCCCAGGAAACCAGCCTGGGCCCATATCTATAACAATTCAACCTACACCATTACAGCAGGCTATTTTTTCCCTCCATTTCTTCACCAGGGTGTTTAGAAAATATACTTTTATGGAATACAGGTCCCAGAATCTCCCAGACAAGCAGCAGGATTCTGGGACCTATACTCCATAAAAGTAACTTTCTCAAGCTCTTATTTGACTATCATTTTTCCTAGCTCTTTCAATTCAGTTTTTCCCTGCTGCTTTGCTTATTTATGGATGAGATTTTATTTCATGTTGTTCGTACTTAACTGCACTTAACTGCACTTGTTTTTACATTTTGCTCTTGCTTGCGGCCTCAGGCATTCTACAAGAATGAAAAACAACATATATTTTAAAAAAAAAAACAGCCCAGAAGATTTGAAGCATACCGTTGCAGACAAATGTATATGTGCATGTACAGAAAACTGGCCAAAACATCACACTGAACTAACTTCTGCCATCTCTTGTTGGAATTCTGCCATCTAGAAATAGGGGAAATATCTTTAGCAAGTCTATTGGTACAGTTTGTATCAATTAAAAACACTGGCAAATGAAGGAGTCATGATGATTCTTGGCTGTCCCAGAGAAAGCATCTTTAGAGCTCCTAGTGCTCCATGTTTACAAATACTTTGCCATCTGGTGCAACATTATTACAGTGATTGCATATGCAGAAAGAGAGCAGCCACTCTTCTACATCAGAAGTGTTCATGACAGACACAAGATACGCCAAATCACAAGGTTGGAGCAGCACTTTAAATTCCAACCCTATACTGGCGCCTACAAAATCAACTCCATCATAAACAAGCTATTGTGAAGACTGTGAAGACTGCAAAGGAACATCTCTTGCATTCACCTTATTCTTCGCTTTTCCCAGCTATAATATTTGCACTAACAACCAAGTATGGCCAAGAGGAAAACAAGGAGACTAAAGCAACTAAAAATAAAAGGTTAATTTTGTACATTAAGACATGCATTGCAAAACCATAGCATATAGCAAAAATCTTAAAATGTTATTGGTTCATTAAGCTTCTGTACCTCAGTGTGAAAAAATGACATCTCCTTCAGGACCTTCCCTAGTTCTTTTGTGGCTGCCCTCATAATTCTCTATCTCCTTTTGATTTCTGGGTTGCAGTTCCCATTTCAGTTAACTGTTCAACAATGGCATAGATTTAGAAAAAAAAAAGATTTACTTCTCCCCAGCGTTAAATTTATGTAATTTTTCTGTAGACATTATTTTTGGTTTCTTAATGTTCAATTGCAAATCTGATTTCTCCTAATGATGTTGTATCTGCAGTGACAGCTTATTTTACTTTAGAAAGCAGTGGGAATTGGCAGAATCCTATATCATTCTCCCATCCTCTCCAAGCCACTCATTCTCATTCAGACCATGCATTTGGTCCACCCTTCCTAACTCAGAGAGGGAAAATAACATTATAGGTAACTCACCATGGGTATGTCCCACTATTAACCTCCCATGGGTCAAAGGTTTTGAGAATTTTGGAAGAAAAATTTAAAATATTTTATTAGTTGGAATGCCCATAATGGTAATGGTATGTGCTCTCTCCTCATCTCCTCCATTTTTGTTTTTGCTACAG